ATTAAAAATAAATCATAAATCAACAACTGGAGCTGAAATTTGCTGCTAGTCCAGGCTTTGCTGGGCTTGCACCTGGCTGACCGTGCCACGGCTTTGCTGGCTGTGCCCTTGCCAAGTGCCTGTGCCATGGGAGTGTGTGAGTGGGGAGAAGCTGAGGTGGTGCTGATGAGGCAAAATGCACATTGCACAACCCACAGGAGCTGCTGGCAGGTTAATCCTACACCAGCAACAACCTGCCACCTACCTAGGGCTGCAAAAAAAACCCAACAACAAGGAATACTGCAGCTTTACGGCTGCTCCGCTGAGACTTCTGGCTGGGGAAAACATGAGTGTTTCACATAAAACTGTGGTATTTGGACTAGGTGCAGGGCCTTTGGTCAAAGTCCATAGGGTGCATGCTCAGCCAGCATCACGTGGGATGTGCTGCTCATAATCTCAGCTTCCCTTTGCAGCTGGAGCACTGAAAATGGTATTTGAAACAAGAGGCTGAGCTTTAGGTGCGACATCAACAGGCAGCAATACTTAGTTTAAATATCATTTCAATGTATTCAAGAATCAGTGCTCTCATGGGCACTGCTTCCCCTTCCCTTTTCTTATTTCAATGGAGAAATTTGCATATTTGCAGATGTTTTCTCCCATGTGGGCTTTGCCAGGGAATAATTCCCCCAGTTGCAAGCAATATGGGAGACTCCTGAATATATCTGCTGTCACCAGAGTCCAGATTTACAGCCTCAAACTGTGCTTGGCCTGAAATGAATATGGACTTCCTCTTTTTTTTTCCCCCATGCTCCTCTTCCCAAATAATATCCTATTAGTCATGACAGCCAAACGGGCTGGATTTTGGGCAAGGATTCAACTTCTGAGTTCCCATCAACATCAAGGCCCTCCTGGCCAGAGCAGCCTCATCTCTGAAGGTGAGGAACACGCTGCAGGAACCTGCTGTGCTCAGGAAAAGCTGATTTGCTATGGGTTGCTACATCCAACAAAATAATTCCAGTCTGCAGCCTGAAAGGGGGAATGAACGAGCACAGGGTGAAATGCAGGGGTGCCTTTGACTTCAGGTGAGTTTTATATTTGGGTGGACCCTCAGGAAGCCCATCAGGGACAGGTAAAGTGGCTCAGAACACTGAGCACAATGCTGGAGGCATCTGCTCATTCCTGCTGCAGAAAGGGCCAGAGGAAAAGTGTTGTTTCTGAATTCCAGGGGCAGTTTTAACCTTTTTACAGACTGTGCAGGAAGCAGATCCCTCCCCCCATTTTTTAGCATAGTACAGGTAGGGTCTCCCTGAACCAGGTGGGATTCCTTGCAGGGAGTAAGAACAACTCTGCTGCTCACATGTTCCCCTGACAGGCTGCAACAAAAAAATTAATCTCAGGCAACTCTGAAAAGGATTCAAAAGGATTCTCAGAACAACTCTGGAAAGGATTCAAAGCAGGGAGAGGGCTCAGCAGCTGGCTGGGGCTCTGGGCTGTACTTTCCAGAGCTGCCGAGGAACCTCCTGTGCAACACATGAAAGCTGATCCCAAAACTCAGATTAACCCAAAGAAACTGATCCCAAAACTCAGATTATGCCAAAGAACCCGATCCCAAAACTCAGATTATCCCAAAGAACATGATCCCAAAACTCAGATTAGCCCAAAGAACCTGATCCCAAAACTCAGATTATCCCAAAGAACATGATCCCAAAACTCAGATTAGCCCAAAGAACCCGATCCCAAAACTCAGATTATCCCGAAGAACAACACCTCTGCTGCAAACCCCGGAGCTGAAACCCCTTCCTGAGCAAAAGCTGGGCCTGAACAGCTGAGCTTGGAAAAGTTATCTGCGCCAGGAATGCAGGCACTGGTGCTGCAGAGAGCGAGGAGGACGGCAAAGGGAGTCAAGAATGATGCCATTCATTGAGATCATGTTTTGTGGGCTGGCTACTTCCATCCTCCCTTTTTCCTGGTACTGGAGGACGCAGAAGGCCGTGCTGGGGGACGCTCTGCACCCCTGCAGGTCCCTGCCTGTCACCTCCCCTGCATGCTCAGCCTTTGCCCCACCACCCAGGATTTTTGGGGACCCCCCTGTCACCCCAAGGGCTCTCCAGGCAGTGGCAGAGTGCTCTGGGTATCACCGGGTTCAATCCTGTATTATCAAACTTCCTTGGCTCTTTGCATTGGAAACTTTTACAATTCCCTGCTCGGCTGGAAAAGATGACTGCAGCAAACCCAAATGAGGAATAAATTATACAACAACTTTACATTTTTCTTTTACAAAGGAAAACTGTGTGGCAAGAGCTGTGCAGGCACCTCCTTCCCAACGTCCTCCCCTTGCAAGGATCACTGTGGAAGGCTTAGTTTGAATAAATAAATAAATAAATAAATAATCACGACACCAGCTCCAAACCCACTTTGGGACCTGCTCCTGCCGGGCCACGCGCTGCCTCTCACCCCCAAAATCCCAAATATGTGCAAGAGCTGCAGGATGCAGGGAGAGCCAAGCTGCAACATCCAATCCAAATACTTCCAAAAGCTCTAAAAGCTGCATCTGTGTGGCCGCTCGCTGACACACAGGCATGGATTTTCACAATGAATGGCCGCAGCTACTCCTCCTTAAAGCTCTCCCCGCCTGCTCTTGCAGGGGCTGTTGCATTCCCGCAGCATTTTTGCAATATTAAATTCTCCACCTCCTCCCCGCCCTTGCAAGGGCACAAGGCAGAGCCACTCTGGAAGAAGCAGGGAGTTAAAAAGCAAAGAGGCAGTGCTCTTTGCCACCACCAGCACGCTGGCAGAAATAAATCACTGCTGTCCCCTGCCCAAGCCCCCTCCCGCTGCTCCTCAGCGCTCAGCTCCTGCCCTTTTGCAACTCCTAAATCCTCAACTCCTGCAGCTCCTGAATGCATCACTCCTGCCCTTCTGCACCTCCAAAATGCATAATTCCTGTGCTTTTGTAACTCCTAAGTGCTTAACTTCTGCAGCTCCAAAATGCATAATTCCTGCCCTTTTGCAGCTCCTAAATGCTCCATTCCTGCAGCTCCAAAATGCATAATTCCTGTGCTTTTGTAACTGCAAAATGCTCAACTTCTGCAGCTCCAAAATGCATAATTCCTGTACTTTTGCAACTCCTAAATGCTCAACTCCTGCAGCTCTAAAATGCATTATCCCTGCCCTTTTGCAGCTCCTACATGCTCAGCTTTTGCAGCTCCAAAATGCATAATTCCTGTTCTTTTGCAACTCGTAAATTCTCAACTCCTGCAGCTCCAAAATGCTGGCCTCCTGCAGCCACACAAAGCCCAATTCCTGCCCTTCTGCAGCTCCTAAAAGCTCCAGTCCTGCTGCTCTTAAAGGCTTTATTCCTGCCTTTCTGCAGCTCCACAGTGCATAATTCCTGCACTTTTGCAACTCCTAAACTCTCAACTTCTGCAGCTCCAAAGTGCTCAATTCCTGCAGCTCTCAAATGCCCAATTCCAGCCCTTTTGCAACTCTGAAAATCTCAACTTCTGCAGCTCCAAAGTGCTCAATTCCTGCAGCTCCACAGTGCATAATTCCCGTCCTTTTGCAACTCCTAAACTCTCAACTTCAGCAGCTCCAAAATGCTCAATTCCTGCTGCTCCAAAATGCCCAATTCCAGCCTTTTGCAGCTCCTAAATGCTCAACTCCTGCAGCTCCAAAATGCATCATTCCTGCCCTTTTGCAACTCCTAAATGCTCAATTCCTGCAGCTCCAAAATGCCCAATTCCAGCCTTTTGCAACTCCTAAATGCTCAACTCCTGCAGCTCCAAAATGCCCAATTTCCGTCCTTTTGTAACTCATTAGCTCTCAACTTCTGCAGCTCCAAAATGCACAATTCCTGCAGCTCCAAAATGCATCATTCCTGCCCTTTTGCAACTCCTAAATTCTCAACTGCAGCTCCTAAACTCTCTGTTCCTGCAGCTCCAAAGTGCTCCCGGTTCTTGCAGTTCCAAAACGCTCCATTCCTGCCTTTCTGCAGCGCCCAAATACCCAATTCCTGCACTTCCCAAACGCTCCATTCCAGCCTTTTTGCACGCTCGGGGCGTGCTGGTGTGACAAACCCCACTGCTGCCTCTGACCAAAAGTTACCAAATATTAAAAGAGAAAGGGGGGGGGGGGCAGAGAAACGGGTGGAAAATGATCTCAGTGCTGGCACGAGAACAATACTTTCCCATGGAAACATAGGTATATATTTAATTCCTGCTAACTCCACTCCAGTTTCACCTTTCATCTCCCTCGCGGACTTGTTTAAAAGTTTGCTTTAACCCCGCGCCGATCCCGGGCTGCAGCTGCTCCTCCAGCACCCCCACCTCGTTCCGTGCCAAAGGCAGGCGAGGGGCTCGCTCGTCCCGGCGGCGGCGGCGAGCACCGCCAGCCAGCGGGAACGGCACCGGGAGCGGCACCGGGAACGGCACCGGGAGCGGCACCGGGAACGGCACCGGGAGCGGCGGCGGGAGCGGCACCGGGAGCGGCACCGGGAGCGGCACCGGGAGCGGCGACCCCCGCGCAAGGCGGGCGTGCGAACGCGCCGTGCACCCGCGCCCGTGCACGCTCGTGCACGTGCACACGTGCACGCTCGTGCACCCGCGCCCGTGCACATGCACCCGTGCACGCTCCTGCACCCGAGCCCGTGCATGCTCGTGCACCCGCGCCCGTGCACGCTCGTGCACATGCACCCGTGCACGCTCGTGCACCCGCACCCGTGCACGCTCGTGCACCCGCACCCGTGCAGTCTCCTGCACCCGCGCCCGTGCACGCTCGTGCACCCGCGCCCGTGCAGTCTCCTGCACCCGCGCCCGTGCACGCACCTGCACGTGCACCCGCAGCCGTGCACGCGCCCGCAGCCGTGCACGCGCGCTTTGCACGCGCGGCTGCGCGCCCGGCCCCGCGCGCGCCCGCCGAGTTGCACAAGCGGCTGCGCGCGCGCGCCCCGCGCGTGCATGCACGAGCGCCCGCGGAGCCCCCCGCGCGCGCGCCCGCGTGCACACGCGCGCCCGCGCTCTCACCTCGGGGCTGAGACATTGTCCCCCGGCGGGTGCGGGCCGGGCGCGCGCACCGAGGGCCGTCCCGCGCGCGGCCCCGCCGAGGGGCGAGCCGCCCGCCCGCCGCGCACACGCACACGCACACAAAAGATGCGAGCCGCGCGCTCCCCCCCCCGGAACGCCGCGCGCGCTCCCGCCTGGGCGGCGCGGGGCTCGGGGCGCGCCGGGCCGGGCCGGGCCGGGCCGGGCCGGGCCGGGCCGGGCGGGGCGGGGGCGGGGGGTCCCTGCGCGGCTGGCGCGGGGCCGGCGCGGCTGCACCTACATGATGGGCCG